CAAGTTCATTATTGGTACATAAAAATGCTACTCATTTCATATGTTGATTTTTGTATCTTGAAATTCACTGAATTAGTTTAGCAATTCTAAACATTTCATGAAGTTTTTAGGTTTTTCGTCTATGTAAAATTCCTATCCTATACAAACAAGAATTATTTGACGTCTTCCTTTCCTAACTGGATGTCCTTTATGTCTTTTTCTTTCCCTGGGTAAGGCTTCCAATACTAATTTGAAAAGGAGTCTCTGTTTTATTTCAGCTTTTCCCTGTTCAGTGTGATATCGGCTGTGGGTTTGTCAAATACAGACTTTAATGTCTTCCACAATGTTCCTTCTACACCAAATTACTTGAGAGTTCATATAATGAAAGGAAGCTGAATTTTATCAAATGCTTTTCCTGCATCTCTTGGAATGGTCATATAGTTTTTATTCTTAATATCATTAGTAATGTATTACACTTATTGAGTTGCAAATGTCAAAACATCCCTAGTATAAATTGCCCTTGATCACAGTGTTTAACCAGTAATTTTTTTGCAGTAATGGGGTTTGAACTCAGGGCCTCACATTTGCTAGGCAGGTGCTCTACCACTAAGCCACTCCACCAGCCCAATTTCAGCCTTCTTTATGACTAGAGGACTGTGTCACTCAGTTTTGGTTTGAGACTCAAACAGAGATCTTCTACAGGACTTTGCTTTCTTCTTCTAGTTATGGGGGCTACTGGAATTTCTTGCCACTGAAATGGAAAGACAATAGTCTAGAGAACTTGACCCACCTCCCAGACACAGATGAACAGATGGGCCAACCAACAGTTCTCCTTCAGTGAGATCAAATGTCAGTGTGGGATACTGACTAAGAGCACCTAAAGATGTTCACATCCTAATCCCAGAAACCTGTAATTTACCTTACATGGCAGAAAGAACTTTGTAAATTAATAATCTCAAATTAGGTGAATTATCCTGGGTTATCCAAGTAGCCCCTAAATGTAATCACAGAAGTCCTTATAAGAGACTCAGGAAGATTTGACCAATGAAGCCTAAAGCCTGGAGAAGGAACCAGCTTTGCACATAGCTTGGTTTTACTTAGTGAAATCTCCTTTGAATTTTTTAATTTGTTGTACTGGAGATTGAACCCAGGGCCTCCTAGGCAAGCAATCTACTACTGAGCCACACCTCCAGCCCCATTTCAGACTTCTGCCCTCCAAAACATTAAAATTATAAATATATGTTGTTTTAAGCCACTAAATTTGTAGTGATTTATTACATCAATTATTGGAAACTAACACAGAAGGGAACCTCCCTAAAACCATGGAATACCTGGGGCAGAGGAAGATAGTGTTCCACACCATAGTAACAGTAATTCAGTAAGACCTAAGTCAGATCCTGTCCCTCATCTGCTCAGGTGCCCTTCCCAGATTTTTAATGCTGAGTCAAAGCCACTGTCCTCATCAATTTCCTTGTGACATCAAAGCCTCCTTTCCACTTCTTTCTGAACACATCTTCTGGGCAGACAAAGGGTACTCCTGACTGAGCTTTTGGGCCAGAGTTCTGCTCTGTTACCCGTATAAAATTATTTCCTCACCTCGTCTGCTTAAAGGTAACTTTATTAAAGAGGACCTCCCCCTGGGTTTAACTGTCTGATACACTTCCTGAGGGCAGGAACTATTTGCTGAGCTCTGCTGTGTCCCCAGGAACAGGGCTGGCACTTAGCAGGCATCCAGCAGTCACTTACCAAGTAAACTATTAAATTAAGTACATTGGTGGGAGGCAGCTTCTCACCGTGTCCAATCTGTATTCTGAACCATGCAAACCTAGCACCTGATCAAAGCATCAGAAAAGCAAGTACAAATGCCTGATGGTCTGTGGAGTGGCTGTGGAACTCAGGACAAGCACCTCCGCGGGTCATGGTCTGATTTCAGCAAGGCGGTATGGCCCACAGCCCTGAGCCAAGAGACTGGAAAGGCAGGTGGGCCTGAGGAAGCCCGAATTCTGAAGGTCACTCGCGGAATCTTTTCTCCCATACCCATGCCTTCAGCAGCTCACGCGCAATTTCAAATTAAAACACATAGATTCCCTCATTCCCTTCTACCGTTCTCCAGAGACGGCCTCGCGGTGTTCCCTTCCCAAATCCGAAGGGAAGGCTACGTTTCCTGGACTCGGGGTACACGGTGATGCAGAGGAGTCCGCGGTCGCTGAACACTCAGTCTGCGCTGTCATGGCAGGTGAACCTCCAGCCCTCAGCGCCAGGAAGGGACAAGAGTGGTCTAGCGGACCAGCGTCACGTGCAGGCAGAGCGCGGAAATTAGCCGAAGCTGCGGCGCTCGCCCCCGGCGAAACTCGTACACAACTAAATTCTCCTCAACCCCGCTACACCAGCCTCCTCCGACCATGCTGGCCTCTCTCCGGCCACGCCCCCTCCACAAGCGCCTTCCTCGGGCTACTCTTGTCCCAGGCTAATCTCGCCGCGACCCGGCCACGCCCACCTCCTCCAATCACGCCCACCTCCTCCAATCACGCCCAGCTCCCTTTGGCCACGCCCCCCTTTCAGCCACGCCTGTCTCCGAGCTGCTCCTCCTGTCCACCCACTGCAGAGGCAGTGGGTAACGAGGCCTGGTAGAACAATCCGGGGTTTCTGCCAGAAGCTGGTTTTCTGCCACTCATTTGTCTCCCAGTAGTCCTCCGTTTTCTGCCTGTCCACCTCCCTCAGACTGTCAATATATATTTATATTCCCACATATATTTATACACAAACACATGTATATTTTTACTTTTAGACCTTTTTTTCAGAGGCAGTAAAGGGACTGTTTCCAGAACCGATGACACTACAACGAGGAGGTCTCCAAAGGAGGAAGTCTCCGCCTGGCACTTGGGTACCGAGTTTGTGATATTGCAAAAAAAGAATTTTAGGACACGTTGAGGTAGAGACCAAAAAGGTTTATTAGTAAAGCAATGCAAAGATAGAAAGATAGTGCACAACCTAGACATGGGTACGGGCACATATGATAACAGGTGCAAGGAGAAGGCTGGGGATATAGCTTACTGGTTGAATGTTTGCCTAGCATGCACGAGGCTCTGGATTCCATCCTCAGTACCGCCAAAAAAACAAAGAAGAAGAAGAAGAAAAGAAAACAGGTGCAAGGAGTGCTCTAACATCAGGGGTATTTATGATGAAAAAGTGGACTGGGGGTTTGACTCAAATTTCTCTTAGGAAAGAATGCTCCTCTTTGTTCTGCAACTAGTATATTTTATCATTTTTGTTGTTACACTGTTTTATCTATTCGTCCGCTCATTAAATTTGTGTCACTATGGCATGTTTGAACATCCTTTTAAACAAAGTCTGGGTCCTGCCAGATGCTCCCTTCAGGACAGGTGTCCATCTTTGTGATAAGTATTTTTCTTTGCAGCTACTTTTTGTTCCCAGGGGAGTCATTTTCCAAAGTTCTTTCCCAAGATAAGCCTCTTTCTTTAAGATATCCTTGTTCAGTTCTCAGAGCTCACTAATTACTTTTGGGCAAGAGGGCAACATCAGAAGGAGAAAGATGTTCTTTTTCCTTTTTTTTTTTTCTTTTTAGTAAATGTTGCAGTTTACTGAGGGAGTGTAAGGTTTAAAGCAGAAAAAGCAGTATCTATGTTTTTAATCGAGGTATTCATTAGTACAATACTTATTTGTAAATCTCTGGCTGTTTCCCATGCCTCAGTTTCCTTTATCTATCCTGCCTCAAAGCAACGTCTCCAACGCCTCAAGTCAGACTCTCTCATGGAGCACCAATCAGCAAAGTCCCTGCCCCTGGCCACCTCGGCTCTTTTCTTTTTTTTTGTTTTTTGTTTTTTGTTTTTTTTTTTTTTTTTTGAGGGCGGGGGGAAGACTGGTGATTGAATTCAAGGATTTGCTCTTGCAAAGCAGGCTTGAGCCACACCTCCAGTCCATTTTTGCTGTGGTTATTCAGGAGATGGGGGTCTCAAACGATCTCTCAATCTCTGCCTCCCAAGTACCTAGGATTACAGGCGTGGGAAACCGATACCAAGCTCCCCCACAGCTTTTAAAAAGTTAGAAACATGGGTTGGAGTCCTGACTCAAGTGGCGCAGCCCCTGCCTAACAAGGAGGAGGCCCCAAGTTCAAACCCCAATACTGAAAGAAGGAAGGGAGGAAGGGAGGGAGGCACGACTCTCAGAGAGCATGCCAAAGATTTAGGAACCCACAAGGTGACATAGGTGGTTTCAGGAAGATGTAATCACTACTGAAAAAAGCGCAAGGTCGGATACAGAACTACACTGCACAGAACTCACTTGCAACCTGTCAACCTTTCCTAAATCAGCCTCTAATTGAACAGAACCTGGACTTCGATCACAGGTAGTTAGGCTAAGAGTTGCTGCGTTTAGGTGTCCTAAAAAGGGCTTGATACTACGCTACGGCTCCCACTCATTTTTCTGTCTTATTGTCAAGTTTTAGATAACTTTCCCTAAAACATCTTGCCCAACTCTCCCTCTCTTCATCTTTCATCCAGACTTTGAAAACTATCAATTACTTTATCTCTAATTTCTGTCCCTTTCTTCATCTTTGTATTCCAGTCCTCCTCCCAAGTCTCGAGAGTTCCCTCTTTGTTTCTGTTTCTCCTTTCATCTCCATCTCTTTCTAATCTCTCTCCCTCTCGCTAACTGTTCTGAAATACCGGTCTCCCCAGTCCTGACTCTCTGATCCCGTCTAATGAGAAGTGAATTCCATCTTTCATTCACCCAGACCCGTGTCGCTGTGTCTGTTGGTTTCCTTTCATTGTCTCTCCTCTTTGCCCTCTAAGTCTCTGGGTCTATTGTCTCTGTTCTTATCTCTGTACCTCTCTCTCGTCACTGCCTATCTCGCTCGACATTATCGCAGTCCCCTTGCCACGCCATCATCCCACCTGCCCTATACCCACTCGGGTTGAAGGGTTGGTTTGGAGACGGCTATGCGTGGTCACCCGGTTACCATAGAGACGCTCAAGCCCACCTACCGCTCAGGAGTACAAAGGAGACCACCCCCCCACCACCAAGGTGCTGCGCACGCGCACACAGCGCGCTCTGCTGACTACGTCTCCCAGAAAGCACCGAGCTGAGCCTCTGTGCTCAGCTGTCCAGAAGGTAGTAGAGGCGGTGCGCCTCCTGGCAGGAGATTGCCATGGAAACGGGGAGGCTGACCGCGGCTTTAGTGAGAGCGGTGATTGGCGCAGAACCCTGTAAATCCCGGGAAGGCCTGTAGAAATTTGACGAAAATGTGCTGGGGGGCATGCGCGATCTGCAAAGTGGTACTGCTGTCCGTTGCCCCCCAACAAGCTTGCGCACGTCGACGAAGGTCCGACGCCTGGATTCTGGAGGGAGTGTAGGAAGAGACTGTTAGGAGTGCGACCTGATCTGTGCGGTCAGCCCTACCTCCAGGGAACTGGAGGACCGATAAAAACGGAGGCAAGGTGGGGGAAGGGCCGGAGGGATCGAGGTGGCGCGCGGGGCAGTCTGGGAAGTGTAGTCTGACCGGGACAACGAGGAAGACGGGAGTGCGCATGCTCACAAGCGCGGAGGAGCAATTTTGAGTGCTGAGGTGAGGGTCGAAGGGCGGGGAGGGGGCGAGCTCTCCACTCGGGAAGGGAGGGCGACGGCACAGACTCGGGGGTCCCAGTTGCCCAGCGAGACCCGGAGAGCGGAGCAGGGGTCAGAGCACTCCTTTCAAATTGGCCTTACGCGGTCGCGCGAGCTCGTCCTTCATTACCCACTGCCGCGGAGACAGGCTCTGGAATACACACACACCCTCCCCTCTCCCGCTCCGGGTTACCCTGAAGCTGTGAGGCCCAGCCTCCGTACCCCAGAGCGGAAGTGTCCTCCTAGACTTCTGGGAAATGTATTTTCGGAACAATGGCAGGGACCCGCTCGCTTGGCGATGACCCAAGTTTCTCCCAGGGTTGACTTGAATGAAACCTGGAGAAGCAAATGTTTGACCCACGGAATCAGGCGGCCCTCGAAGTTGATGCCACCCCCGGGGGGATGATTGTGTCGCCATCCCAATAATAAACTTAAGATTTTCACAAAGCCCCAGCTGCAAAAAGAGCATCTGGAATCGGGAGGTCAGCCTGGTATGCAAATGGGGAAATTGGTTAACAGAGGCACAGCTACCTGAAATGGGCAGAATCAACATCTTGGACCTTCCTTGCAGGCCACGGCTCCAGTGGTCTTAAGGTGCCCCATCATCTCCCAGCCCTACCTAAAATCAGGGAGCTGGGGAGATGAATCATTGTGTGGTGTGATAAGTAGGTCTCCAGGATGAGTAGAAGAGTGCTGTGCTGGACCCAAGTGACTTTGCACAGGTTGAGATGGGGGACTAAGTAGAGCAAAGCCGCACCATAAGACCAGGTTGGTAAGGGAGTGATGTGGAACTACAGAGAAGTGAAGAGAGATATTGGGTGGAGCACACTGAGGGACTGACATTGGGAGTGGGGGTGGTAGTCAGCAGTGGTGCTGATGCCCAAGTGGTAGGTGGCATAGGTGCCATCCACTGTATAGAGATGGGCAGGCATGAGGAGGAACAAAGGCATGTAGAAGAAGGAAAAGATTTAGGAGAGCGGTGTTTTCTAGGCCTAAAAAGCAGCCTGTGTTTGGAGCAGCAAGGACTCCCAGAGACTCTGCACAGGTCCAACTAGAAAGAAGGCCAGGCAGTCAGTGTAGTGCACACCACCACTGGTAATTCCAGGAGGATCACAAATTTGAGGCCAGGCTGGGCTACATAAAAAGACCCCACCTGAAAAAATGCAGAAATGAAGAAAGCTAGGAAAACAGGTGGCTCAGCCAGGGCTCCCAGCCCCACAAGTCCCTGGGGTTTGATCTGCCTGTGCCTCTGTTTCTTCATGGGTCACCTGGGGCAGGTCTGAGGACTAAACAGCACAGCATACAGTAAATACTCAATAAGAATTCACTGACAACTGTCTATCCTTAATGTAGCAGTCTCATACTATTCCTTCTCTAGGGACAGACACTGCCTCAGAGACCTGACTTAGTACTCCTGATGAGACCCACTGTGCTGGACTACCCAGGCCATGCACCCCCAGAAAACGAGGAGCCTGTCATGGTAACGCTGGAGGACTCTGAGGAGGAGGGAGAAGCCACCCTGTGGGACCCAAGCCCTGAGGCTGCACGCCTACGCTTCCGGTGCTTCCGCTATGAGGAGGCAATGGGTCCCCAAGAAGCCCTAGCCCAGCTCCGAGAGCTGTGTCACCAATGGCTACAGCCAGAAGTGTACTCCAAGGAGCAGATCCTGGAGCTCCTGGTACTAGAGCAGTTCCTGGGTGCACTGCCCCCTGAAATCCAGGCACGTGTGGAAGGGCAATGGCCAAGCAACATCGAAGAGGCTGCAGCCTTGGTTGACAGGCTTCGCTGGGAGCTGGGTGGGCCTCGGAGATGGGTGAGTCAATGGCCCTAAGTGGAGCAGAGCTGGGGCATTGTCCAGCTCTGCCTCACCCTGGGGATACTGTGCCCAGTCAGACATGCCCACCCCTATCCCCATGGTACAGAAGTTGCCACCTGCAATCCTCTGTGGCCACTCAAGGCAAGGAGGGTTCTCACCAGCACATCCCTGCTTCACCTGGAGTTGTGGATACATGGGCTGCAGGCTAAGTGAGAGAGGGAGGGTACCAAGCAGTCCTGTACCCTGTACCATCTGTAGGTGGACCTTTTGCTCCCTGTTCAAGGCCTAAAGGGGGTAGGACCTTTGAGGATCCAGTCAGAAGACATTGACCAGGCAAACCTCAGGAGTCCTGCAATAGAGTGGGTGCTGGTGCTCATGAATCCTGGGTTGTGCCCAGCCATACTCTCTACTTTGCGGGGGCATCTCCCCAGGTCACAGTCCAGGTGCAGGGTGAGGAGGTCCTATCAGAGAAGATGGAGCCTTCCAGCTTCCAGCCTATACCTCAAATCAAGCCTCAAACTCCAGGACCTGGGGCTGACACACCCCCTGGGGCCATACAGGAATTGCCGCTGGACCTTCAGGTGAAAGAAGAGCCAGAAGTTACAGAGGATCCAGGTGAGGCCAGGCAGAATGGGCAAGGCTTAAAGCCTAGCCTGATAGTCTGAATTTCACTGGGCCAGGCCCTGCTAGGTGGAATGGTTCGTATGTACCTGTGGCTTCCATACCCTTTCCAGTCCAACAACACTGTCACTGTCACTTACAAGCCAACCTGTCCCATTTCCTCAGCTCTCCCCCAACATGGAACAGGCTGTTGGGATTCCCCTGTATGGGAGACATGGAATTAAGTCCCCAGTGAGATCCCCTGTGAGGTATCCACTTGTGGGGAAGCAGGCTTATTTACAGGGAAGTGCTGCTGAGGAGAAGACCTCAAAACGTTGACTGTGTGCCCTCCACATTCCCCTGAGACAGCTACCAACACTCTGCCATTCCTGTGTGGACCCTGTCCAAGTCAAACACATACACACACATATTTGGCCATCCTTCCCCAAGGCTCACATGGATACAAAAGCACAAACCTGAGCCTACCTCATCCCTCTGTTCCTTGACCCCTGGCCTTCCAGCATACCCTGCTTCACTCCACTCTCAATTGGACCTTCAGCTCAAGTCTATGTCCAGGTTTCCCCCTGCCTGGATCCTGGTACTTGGCACACCACTAAGAAGAAAAGGTGAGAACTCCTTTGGGCTATCTGACTCCATTCTTTCTCCCCAGAACTCTTGGAGTCTGGGCCTCTTCCTGCCACCCAAGAGGCTGCAGCCACCTTCCTACCTAAGAAGCCCCAGGTGAGCCCTGGAAAGGATGTGAGCTATTTCCTGCTCCAGGAGTCTAATGGGTGGGCATCGGAAAGGACCTTCCCTGAGCCCATCTAAGCACAATCATAAAATGACCACTGTGGTTTCAGGGCTATGGGACAGTGCTGGACCAAGCCTTTCCTCACAGTGAAACTGGGCCTGAGGGGTCTTCATGGAAGAAGCACCCTGGTGCCCTGTGGCATGAGGAGGCTGGGGACATCTTCTCCTCAGGTGAGTGAGATTGGGCATGGTGGAGCTAGATCCTCCTTATGGTCCACCATCCCCATCAGCCCTGATTCTGTCATTACCCGGGCAGCCCTCTCACTCCAGTATCCCCAAGATCCCCATTCCCTAGGCCATCCTCTGCAATGTCTAACTCACTCTAGCAAGTTCTGCCCTCAAAAGAAACCTGCCACTGACTCCATGACTCCTAACTTCTCCCTACATCATAACATCTCCTGAGAACAGCCTGTATTCCCCACATCCACATCCTCTCCCAGTCTTGGCATCCTGCATGGCCTCCAGACTCTAAGCTGTATCCTGCTGGATAGGTCATGACCTGGCAAGGAAAGCACGTTAGTAGACAGAGGAGGAGGAGCTCTAACACAGTACAGGTATCTGGCAAGGACAGACCAGGATCCTGCCCAATTATCCAGGGTCTCTTGAGTTGGTAAAACTTCCTATACATTCTGTTATGGGACGTAAAATATGTATCAAACACATTTGCCTATTCCTCAATATTTATGGAATGGAATATATTTACTTGTATTTTGTGGTACTAGGGATTGATCCCAGGGCCTTGCATATGCTAGACAAGCACTCTACCACTCAGCTACATTCCCAGCCCTAGAACTTTTTTTTTTTTTTTTTTTTTGCCATTACTGGGGTTTGAACTCAAAGCCTACACCTTGAGGCACTTCACCAGCCTGGATTTTTTTGTGTGTGATGGATTTTTTTCAAGATAGGGTCTCACGAACTATTTGCCTAGACTGGCTTTGAACCACAATCCTCATGATCTCTGCCTCCTGAATAGCTAGGATTATAGACGTGAGTCATCAGCACCCAGCTTAGAACTAGTTAACTCACTCTCAAACCTTTTTTGGCAAGCCCTTTCAATTTAGTTGTGGGAATTTTCTTTGAAATGTTTCTTTGGAGAAGGACATGGTCATATACATCTATAATCCCTGCTACACTGGAAGCTAAGGCAGGAGGATCACAAGTTCCAGGCCAGCCTGGGCAACTTTTCAAGATCCTGTCTCAAAAAAGGCGGGGAGCCAGACCTCAGGGACAGGTCTTCTAATATTTTGTTTTTGTTTGGGGGGGTTGTTTTGTTTTTAGCGGTACTGGGGTTTGAACTCAGGGCCTTACACATGCTAGGCAGGAGCTCTGCCACGTGAATCACTCCACCAGCCCTTTTTTGTGTTGGGTATTTTAAAGATAGGGTCCCATGAACTATTTGTCTGAGCTGGCTTCATACCGAAATCCTCCTGGTCTCTGGCTCTGGAGTAGCTAAGATTATAGGCATGAGCCATAGACACCTGGCTTTGCTATTGTTTTTATTTTTCACATAGGATCTCACTTTTGCCCAGCTGGCCTCAGACCAAGAAACTCCCATGTCCACCACCTCCTACCCTGTGCAGCTGGAATTACAGGCACACATCTTTGAGCCTAGCCTTGTTCTTATCTTTGCACTCCAATTTTCCATCTCTTTGTCTTTCTGTTCTGTTTTCCATGATATTTTTCACTTCTATCTTCCAGACCTGAAATTTTCATTCTGCCAGAAAATTTTAAATTTCCAAGAGTATTTTCATTCTCATGTTCATTTTTATAGTCACTTCCTCATCTATCAATTTTAAGTCTTCTCTTATTTCTCAGAGGACAGCAATAACTTGTTTGTTTTTAACTTTTCTTTTCTCAGTGTTTTCTTTTTCCCTCCAAGTAGTTTGCTTATATGTAACACAGGGAGACCACAAATCTGGCTGGCAGCTCTGAGCGGGTGGGTCAGGGATTTATTGTCTGTGGCAGTTAAGAATTAGGAGGAACATGGCAAGGGTTTCAGGCATTGTGGTGCATACCTGTAACCCCAGCACTCAGAAGGCTAAGGCAGGAGGACTACAAGTTCCAGGCCAGCCTGGGCTATATGGCAAGACCCTGTCTCAAAAAAAAAAGTTTTTGTACTTTTTACTGGGGTCCTAATTCAATTTTTATTCATAATATCTTTGTTTCATGGACACCAGTCCCTCCTTTGAGGATTTGGAAAAACATTAATGTCCTTTCCAGACTAGCCAGTTACTGTTTCCTCAGGTGTGAGTTCTCCCACTGGCTGCCTTATTGACAGCCTGCCCTTTGAAACCTTCAGAACTTCTTGTTTGCCCCTGCTCTAAGCATTTTCCTAGGTGAGAGGCTGCCAAAGGACCCACTATAACCCTGAAGTTGGAGCATCTGGACCCTGGACCATTCAGTGCAGGTCTCCAGGCCTGCAAGCCAAGCAGAAGCAAACAGCTAATTCCTGACCAGGTCAGTGAGTGAACTGGGCTACTAAAACCCCAGTTTCATGATGGAGCCTGGCTTCAGGCCTAAAGTGCCCACAGCCTTAATAATCTTCAGAATACACTGGACAAGGTTCTTGTTTTGTTTTGTTTTTGAGACAAAGTCTGTATTGTCTGGGCTGTCCTCAAATGGTCCTCCTGCCTTAACCTCCCTAGTAGCTAAGACTACAGGCACATACCATTGTGTACAGCTGCACCAGTCTTGATCTCACCATTGTCTCAGATTCCTTGGCTTAAAATTTTTCTGAAGAAAAAATTCATAGATGCCTAATCTCCTCCCTGTACCACTGCCCCTTCCTGCTTCAGAGCTATCCAAAGTAGACATGTTGGACAATAATATGCCAACTTCACAACCATGTTTGAAGGAGTCATATCTCACACAGTGGCATGAAAACCCAGTCACATTTATGAACCACAAAAGGCATTTTTAAAACCTTTCTTACATTTTGTCTACATTTCTGCACATTGGAGCAGAGAATAGTTTCCAGCACATGCTCCAGCTGATCTGGACAGGCCTGGCCTGTGCTGACTGGCCTTGTTTGGACCTTCTCTCTTAATTCACAGTCCGACAATCTCTTGCTCTATTTCAGTCACATCAGCAGCACTGCTTCAGGCTCCTTGGTAGGTTCTTTCTTTGCAGCCCTGTTTTCAGGCTATACTCAATACAGACAACCACAGCTCTTGGCTTCAAGCTACAATTCCCCCTTGGCCGCCTTGGTACTACCATCATGCCCCTCAGCTGCTTCCATTGTCCCCTAACTGTGCCTGTGCCTCTTTGGCAGCCAAAAAGTTCCTTCTTTTTTTGCCTCTGTGTGAGTGTGTGTGTGAATGTGAATGTGTGTGTGTGTGTGTGTGTGTGTGTGTGTGTGTGTGTGTGAGATGCTGGGGATGAACTCTGAGCCTTGTGCATACTAAACATGCACTCTCTACCACTAAGCTGCACCACCAGCCACAGTTGTTTTTAATGTTTTCAGCATAAGAATATTTTAAATAGTTAGTGCATTCACATATTAGACAATTCAAAAGACACGAGAGTGGAATGCACCTTCCTTGCCTGTGCCACGTAGTCCTGCTCCCCAATAGCCAACATTACCAATTTCTTGTGTCCTCCCAGAAAGTCTATATGCAGAGAAGCAAACACATGCCACATAATGTTTTAGTCAATCTGGACCACAAATACAATAGTGGTCTTATAAGGGTATATTGCCTACTGGACTAAAAGCATAGCTGAATGGTACAGCACATGTTTAGCATTCATGAGTCTGAGTTCGATCCCTAGCACAAAACAAAATTATATTGCATACTGACATTATAATCATCTTAGTTTCTATGTGATGGTCACATAATAAAATTGCTTAACAAATTTTTAGGTCTATCCCTCTAGTTAAGCATCACATGTTCATTTGACGCCTTTAAAATACACATGGAAAAAAATTTATGAAAAAAACTCATGGATGCCTATTCTCCAGATGGTTCCACACCTGGTGTTTTTCATGCCATACCTAGCATTTCCCCCTTAAACAACAGAGGTCGCCTAGGTCTTTGGACAGCAGCATAGAGCTCTACTTTGTCTTATTGTGGATACGTTTTCCGTAGGTTCATACTGGGGTTGCTTCTCATTGAAGCACTTAAGAACCTTGTACATAGGTCATTTAGCATAGGGAGGTACAAATGTTGGAAAAGTACATAAAAGTGGAATTATTGAGTCACAGTGTGAGCCATTCACTCTTTTGAATTAAAAACTCTCCAGAGGCAAAGGGTGAATTAATTCCATAAGTAAAGAACTTTAGAATTATTGGGTCACGGTGTGAGCCATTCACTGTTGAATTTAATTACAATGCCTTCCTATTTATTCTGCACTGAGAATGTAGAAATGGGCGGGGATGTACCTCAGTGGTAGAGCACTTCTCTAGTATGTGTGAGATCCTGGGTTCAATACCCAACATTGAAAAAAAATGCTGGGAATGTAAAAATGGTGAATGAATTCATCTCTACTTTCCATTTTTCTTACTAAGAAGAGAACTAGCATATTTAAGGGGGCTACTTGAGCCACTCCACCAGGCCAGCCCTGTTTTGTGTTCAGTATTTTCAAGATAGGGTCTCAGTATTTGTCTGGGCTGGCTCCAAACTGCAATCCTCCTGATCACTGCCTCCTGAGCAGCTAGGATTACAGGCGTGAGCCACTGGTGCCCAGCTTTATTGAAGTTCTTAGGGGATTAATTAGCCCTTTGCCTCTGGAGAGTTTTTGAGCTTGTCTTCTGAGGTGGGTTTTGTTGATTCCTTTGATGTTTTGGTTTGGTTTTGCGGTACTGCCACACCTTGAGTCACTCCACCAGCCCTTTTTTGTGATGATTTTTTTTTTTTTTTTGAGATAGGGTCTCACAAACTGTTTCCCCGGCTGGCTTTGAACCATGATCCTCCTGATCTCTCCTCCCCAGTAGCTCAAAAAAAAAAACAAAAAACAAAAACAAAAATTGCTGCTTGTGGCCCTTCTCACCTGTTTTGTCTCATTTATCATTTTTAGGTTTGTAGTTCACACTGTTTACCCAGGGTTCAGTGGGTTCTGACAGAGACAAGACTCTCTCTCATGGCTCCCTTTGTGCAGGGTTTGCGCTCCAGATGGACGGCGTCTGTTCAGAGCCAGGTACTGTGAGTCCCTACTTCCATATCCCCTGGGATCTGGGCATGGCCAGCCTCTCCAGGCAGATCCGGTCACCCTCCCACGATGGGGACTTCCTGCATGCACTTGTGCTCCCCAGCGACTCGGGAGGTGAACAGGAGCCAGCGGGTGAGAACCCACGCCGAGACGTGGGGCCCGCAATAGTCACCGCGCGCTGGTGTGCTCCAAGGGGCCGAGACCGGGGCCGCCCCTGCACTGCAACCGGGGCTGTGCGGGGCGGCGGCTGCGATGTGTGCGGCAAGGTGTTCAGCCAGCGCAGCAACTTGCTGAGGCACCAGAAGATCCACACAGGCGAGCGGCCATTTGTGTGTGGCGAGTGCAGCCGCAGCTTCAGCCGCAGCTCTCACCTGCTGCGCCACCAGCTCACGCACACTGAAGAGCGACCGTTTGTGTGCTGCGACTGTGGCCAGAGCTTCGTGCGCAGCGCGCGTCTGGAGGAGCACCGGCGCGTGCACACAGGCGAGCAGCCCTTCCGGTGCGCAGAGTGCGGCCAGAGCTTTCGACAACGCTCCAACCTGCTGCAGCACCAGCGCATCCACGGTGATCCCCCCGGCCATGGCACTGCACCCCCCGCACCTACCAGAACGCCAGAACCCCCAGGTCCCTTTCCTTGCAGTGAGTGCTGCGAGAGCTTTGCGCGGCGGGACGTGCTGCTGGAGCACCAGGCGGTGCACACCGGAAACAAGTCCTTTGGTTGTGTGGAGTGCGGCGAGCGATTCGGCCGCCGCTCGGTACTGCTGCAGCACCGGCGCGTGCATAGCGGTGAGCGGCCCTTTGCCTGTGCAGAGTGCGGCCAGAGCTTCCGGCAGCGCTCCAACCTCACGCAGCACCGGCGCATCCACACTGGCGAACGGCCCTTCGCTTGCGCTGAGTGCGGCAAGACCTTCCGCCAGAGACCCACACTCACGCAGCACCTGCGTGTGCACACGGGAGAAAAGCCCTTCGCCTGTCCTGAGTGTGGTCAGCGCTTCAGCCAGCGACTCAAACTCACACGCCATCAGAGGACACACACCGGCGAGAAGCCCTACCACTGCGGCGAGTGCGGCCTGGGCTTCACGCAGGTGTCGCGGCTCACAGAGCACCAGCGCATCCACACGGGTGAGCGCCCCTTCGCCTGTCCTGAGTGTGGTCAGAGCTTCCGGCAACATGCCAACCTCACCCAGCACCAGCGCATCCACACGGGCGAGCGGCCCTACACGTGTCTGGAGTGTGGCAAGGCCTTTCGCCAGCGCCCCACGCTCACACAGCACCTGCGCACGCACCGGCGAGAGAAGCCCTTTGTCTGCCAGGACTGCGGCCGCCGCTTCCACCAGAGCACTAAGCTCATCCAGCACCAGCGTGTCCACAGTGCAGAGTAGCTCCAATTAGGCATGCACTGCTTGGTCAAAACACCTACCTCACAGGGTTGTTGTGAGGCCAAAATGACACAGGTACGAGTAGGCCTGCTCAAGACCTGGTTCCGAGTAGCTGCTTAATAAACGGTAGACAGTGCTTCCCCACCTGTGCGGTGCCTCTCTGCTCACCCCACCCGCCACTTCTGTGCTGGTGTGCCCCCTCTGCGCCCCACAGCACCCATGCTGCTCCTCCCCAAGGGCAATTCCTAGCACACCTCCTTCGTGGGCTAGCCAATGTACCTTACTTCTGGCTTACACAGAGAGAATACCCAGCCCTAGGTGGGACAGAACAGCCATGGACACCCAGACTCACAGAGGAGGAAATGTTCCCTGTGAGCATCTGCCCTGGGGCACGTGATTGTCAATCAGAGTCTAGTCAAGAGTCTGAGCTACAGCAGATGTTTTAACAAAACTGCTAACTAGGTATTATGTGGTTAGTGGTCAGCTACTCAGGAGCTCCAGTGAGTTTCCCATGGAGCTGAAACTCAGCTCCTGAGAAGGAAAGGGCAGTGCTAGAGTGGTCCTGGGGTCTCTAGGTTCAGAAGGGGGTGCCAATGGGCCCAAGATGAGACTCCTAAGGAGAGGGCACCCGTGAGGGGCCAGTGAGCCTGGTCCTGAGAGGTGAGAGCTGGTACCAGAGGTACCTCAGTTGCCAGGTGAAGAGACACTGCTGTCCTAGTGGAAGGAGTGAGTCTTGCTCTCCACACCCCTCAGCCCCTATGGCACCCTGCCCCTCACAGGGCTGCAGATGAAGAGAACCTGAACCCAGATGCAGAAAATTAAAGGGCAGCACAGCCCACTCCTTGACAGGGGACAATATTTCATGAGATCCTCTCTGATACTAAGGATACTCCCTGGGGCCTGGGAGAAGTTGGAAAAGCAGTCAGTATCCAGAGGGATGACCAACCTTCCAAGCCCATGACACTCTCCTCACACTCTCAGTTCAGCTGTTCAATCACCTTCACCCTAATGGCACCCTAACCTTGCAACAGTCACAAGTAGCCCAAGCTTCCCACCAGTGGGAGAAACCCTAGAGAGTTGGTCCTAGAGGGACTGCTTAGCCTCCCATAAGTGGAGCACTTCTGACAGCTGTGAACCCAGGGTCCAGCAGGATCACCCACCTCACAGGTTTGTTGGCGATACCATGCCTGGATCATGGTATCTGAAACTTCCAATCCCTCCATGGTTATCCTTGGGGCTGTGGGTCAAGCCAACCTCTAAAATAGGTCCCAGATTGACCTGGTTCTTCCTAGCCAGCCAAGATCATCCTATATAGCACTATTAATAAATTGACACTGGCAAGCTAGTTCCTGCCTAAAAATGTACTTGTAATACTCCTTTAGACCTAGGAAGCCATTTTCTAAGTTTATAAGCTGGAGGTTTTACCTGCAAACATATTTCAAGACTTTTCTGTTCCCATGGTTTTACAGCCAGCAGTACTGAGGATGAAGGACCCTGCAAATGGAGCACAGGCTGCAGGTTTAGGGTCAATTCCTCCACCCTCTGGCAACTGTTTCCATCACTCCAGCTATAGGTTCCTCCCACCATGGCCCTGTGCACAGCCCTACAAGGGCTTCCAAATAATAAGAAGTCTCCATCAAGAGTGCATTCAGAAGCCAGTCACAGGAAATGCAGCTAATACCAACTTATGTGAAAGTGGACAGACACTGACAGTGTAGTTCAGTATGCTGCAGATTTCAGGCCTGGTATCTCCAGGATCCCATGCCATTGCCTCTTTTGCTCTAGCCACCTTCCCCTTCCATCTCACTGATCAGGCCTTTGACACAGTCCCACTCACCGCACCTGGTGTATGCCTGAATTGCAGGTAACAAGGGGTCAAAGAGGTCTCATGCAGTGGGCTCCAGCTTAAACCCTAAAACCTAGTCAAGGTCTTTCTCTGGGCAGATAACAGCCTGGCTTTGGCCTAGATATTTCCAGGAACATCAACTTCAAGCCTGTATGTCTAAACTTCTTCCAGGAGTACAGCTGTATTTTCTCATCACTTCCACTCATCTTCACACCCAAGACACCCTGACCTCAGGGAAAGCATACAATCCAACCAGAGGCCACTTCCATGTGGCAGAGTGAGGGGTTCCTGATCCCTATGATGACACCCTTTCCAACCACCAAAACCCAGGGGCAGAAGACACAGAATCCAGAATCGGCCCCTCAGCAAGCAAGTGCTACATACTACCAGCAGTACTGATGCCTGGACAAAATAGACCCACACAATCATAGCCATACCAGGAAACTAGGAAAGGAGCCCAAAAGGCCTTAGTCAGCTAAAGCAGGTATAACAAAGTGCTTAGCCAGCCTGTACCTGTACCTAGAACCATACTATGTAACCCCAAGCCTAGCACTACACCTGCCAATGCTGCATCCATTTAGTCTCACTCGAAACCCAGCCCTCTCCTTATTCTCTCTCATCTCTCCTCAGCACAGTTGATTCTAGTCATCAATCTCTGGTGTGGTAACCCACAACACCTCCCCCTCAGCCTCCCATCTATGTCTGTGCCTGCCCTCTCTTCTCCCCCACCTCTATAGTATCAGCTCCCAGCAACTACACTAACACCCACAGTTTGCACACAGAGCCCAGCCCCCAGCTTCAGTTTGGCCATTTCCTCTTCCCTAGTCTGAGCCCCCTGATCCCCTTTTTTCCCCAGCATGTTGTTGCAGAGTTGATGGTCTTCCCCCCACCTTGATGATCAGAAACTAGGTCAGAGCTAATCCAGCATCACCCGTCTGTGGGCCAATACCCTATACCTTGCCTGTGGAGGCAAGACTCAAGCAGCACCTGTCTAGCAAGCAGGAAGCCCTGAGTTTAAACCCCACTACCACCAAAACAACAAAAAACCACCCTAGATGGTCCTTGGTAGATGAGCCTCAGTCAATAACTAAAGGATGTACACAAGAATCAGGATAGCCAATAGAAAACACCCCCAAGACTGGACGAAACACTGGGATGGTCAACTCATGTAGAAATGGCCTCTATGTGCATACCTGTAATGCCAGCATTAGTTGAGGCCAGAGGATTTCGAGTTTGAGGCCAGCCTGGGCTACATAGCGAGACCCTGTCTCAAAAAAAGAAGAGGGAGGGAAGGACGGCGGTGGGGTGGGGGGAGAGAGGAGGGAAGGAGGGCCGGTATGAAAATAATCAGGGTGGCTGGGAACAGTAAGGATGGAAGAGTTCTGGAGTGGCCCTCTGAGTCCCAGAACTGGCCATGAGTGAAGTCTGAGGAAGATGGGAGGGATAGTAGAAATCCATGTTGGCACCAAACCTAAGCTGAACGTCCATCCTTGCCCCAGACCTCTTCAACACTCGTCTTTAAGGATAAAGGAAAGTAAGGATGCTGAGGGTAGACAGAACACCAGAGGGCTGAAGAGGGTCACTCCCCCCAGGGAACAGAGCAAATGAGGATACGCTGCGCACGAAAAGAGCCGGGGCGACTACCCTGAGGTAAGAATGGGAGCCGGGCGGATCCGAGGGACAAGCGAGTACCCATATTTAAGAGAGGGGTGGAAGAGCGATCTGTCAGATGCTGGAGAAGGGCCTAAGCGCACACCTGCTTGACCCCATCCCCAGACAGCCTGAGCCACGTTTTCCACGCTGCGCGAGCAGAGACAACAGCACCGCCGTGACGGGAGAGAACTTGCTAGGGGCGCAGCCTAAGCACTGAGCATCCAGCCGCAGAAGCCCGCCTGTTTCCTAGGTAACGGCCTGAAGTCCCAAACCCACTCGGCGCCATTTCCTCTCCCCCCCACCAACACCCCCGGACTGGCACATCGAACTGCGATTGGACGGCGATTGGAGGGAGTGGCCCCGCCCACATACATCAGTGCACCTCTGTTGGTCTCCCGGCTCCAGCACTAGTGTCCCATGGTCAGTGTTCATTTGTACAGTAAACCTCAACAGAGCTTATCACAATCTGGCACGAAACAACTTTGGTTGTTATAAGGGGCAGGGTCTCCATGTTGCCCATATTAGCCCCGAGTTCCTGGGCTCACACTATCATCCTGCCTCACTCGCGATGTTAGTTTACCTCAATCGGAATCTCCAAGAGAGCGATCTGAGTTTGCGATCGGATACTGAGGGTGATCGCTTTGGTACCCTCTGGGTATCTTGGCTTCGCCCGGGCTCTGCCTTTGTGACCTCTGGAGGCAAGGACCTTTTCTGACCCACCCCCGCGGGCCTCCGCAGGAGCACCGCATTAACTGGACCAACAGAGAGCGAAGCGACCAGCATCCGCCCCATTCAAAGATGGCTACAAGTACCGCTTCCTGCTCGGCGGGGGAACGTCCCCGGAAATCCCCGATGGACCACCGAACCGTCACCTTCACGAACGGAAATACCCGAGCCTAGCCGAAGAAGCCCGAACTCCAAACCCCATCGCGGCGCAGCAAAGGACAGGGGCTGCGCAGGCGCACAGCGCAGTCCCGGAAGGAAGAGCCGAAGCGGGCAGGCGGCGGAAATATCCGAAGCGGCGGGGCGCCTGAGGCCGTTGCCGACCTCCGCGAAGAAGCCAAGACTTCGCCACTATACGGCCGCCGCGACCGTGGCTGCCGCCTCCTCCTTCCATCCCGAACAGCAGCCCCCTCGCGGAGGAAACAAATGAGCAGAGCTCGGTAAGCCCAGCAAGCCCAGCGTCCGCAGCCGCAACAGGGCCTCAGAAGACCTGAAGGAAGAGAGGGAAGAGCGGGGCACAGGAGGTGGGAACGGGGCCGAGTGAGCCCGAAAATATCCGAGTTCACCCGAGCGCCGCCGAGCAGGCCCGAGCTACTGGGCCAGGCCAGAGCCGGACTACGGGAGCCGAGGCGGGCCGTGGGTGGGCGCGGAGCAGCTCGGCAGGCCGGGCGGGCGACGGCGACGGCAGCAGCAGCGGAGGAGGCCGCGGCTGCGGGTCCGAGGAGCGGCAGCGGTACAGGAGGCGGCGGGGGGCCGGGTGGCCGGGGTCCCGGGCCCCGCGGCGGCGGCGGCAGCGGCGGCGGCGGCAGGATGATCAAGCTGTTCTCGCTGAAGCAGCAGAAGAAGGAGGAGGAGTCGGCCGGCGGCACCAAGGGCAGCAGCAAGAAGGCGTCGGCGGCGCAGCTACGGATCCAGAAGGGTAGGGGGTCAAGGGATGGAGGTGGGGGGTCGGAGGTAAGGGCCTGGGGAGGGTAACGTGGGCGTCAAGAATGGGGAAATGCGGCTGCTGAGGGTAGGGACGGGGACCGCGGATATCGGAGGTCAGGACCGGAGGGATATGATGCGGTAAGCAAGGACGGGTGATGCGGTCACTAGGGAGGGTCAGAAATGGGGGCCCGGTTTGGGGCGTTGGGATACTCAGATTCCGGGTCCCTAATACCAGACGCCAGGCTGGAATGTTAGGCGCGGGGTGGCGGGGGAGCTGAGGAGTCCGGGGACCAGGCGGGAAGTTAGTTTAGGGTTGACGGAGTGAGAAGAGAGGGATAGTTGAGTGGGTGATGATTTAATGTATTACGCTGGGGTCGCTGGGAATCTGACTCAGACACCGACCTGGAGGTCAGGAAGCAATCTGAAGTTTGGGGATCACAGGTGGAGGAGAGAGGGATAGTGGGTGCCAGAGATTGAAAATAGGGGTGAGGGAAAATTTAGGCTATGATGCTGGAAATCTTGAGGGGGGGTGCCGGAGACTTGAGTATGGGAGGTTAGAAGGAAATCAGAAAAGAGGGGGGACGTAATGGAGGTTAGACGGAAACCAGAAAAGGGGGGACAGCGGGGGCTGGAGGATTGGGTAAGGAGGTGATTTGGGGCATAGGGGAGTAGGGTCCTTGAGTTTAGGTGGACAAGTACTGGAAAGAGGAGGTCATGACTGGGGAGTCTGAGGGGTTTCTCAGGGGTTGTTGGAGGCCAGGGCTTTGGAGGTTGGAGCCACATGGGGGTAGGACACTTGGAAGCTGGGTTCAGGGAACTTGGTACCATAGATTTAGGAGAGTTTGGGTTCACCTAGGAAGTGAGCTTTGTATCCAGAAAAGTGGGATACACATGGGGAGTGGAGAAAGCAGGGAGTAAGCAGTGAGTTAGAAGTGTGGAGAACACTCCAGAACAGAGCTCCAGGAGGAGGCCATGGGGACTCTGCTGACACCTGTCCAGAGCCCTCGTTTCTCTCTTGCTTGCCCTCTCTTTCTTCCTTTCCCTATCTCTGGCCCCTTTCCCTCTCTCTGGCCCCTTTCCTGCTGACCAAACCCAGACATAAACGAGCTGAACTTGCCCAAGACGTGTGACATCAGCTTCTCAGACCCAGACGACCTCCTGAACTTCAAGCTGGTTATCTGTCCTGATGAGGTAAGAGCACACATGCCAGGACTTCCATGAACAAACCAGGGTGGTCCAACTGAGAGTAGGGAGACTTTCAGGTCCTCAGGATGTTGCCCTAATACTTTCTCCCTCTTCCCCTTCTAGGGCTTCTATAAGAGTGGGAAGTTTGTGTTCAGTTTTAAGGTGAGTTCCAAGTGGGCAGAGATGTCTCCATGGACTGAGGAGGCAACAGCTGAAGCCCTACCAGGCACCTACCCATCTCCCTTCTCTTTTTCTGGAGCCAGGTGGGCCAGGGTTACCCACACGACCCACCCAAGGTGAAGTGTGAGACAATGGTTTATCATCCCAACATTGACCTCGAAGGCAACGTCTGCCTCAACATCCTCAGGTGAGGGTACTGACTCTCCACTACCCTTCCCAGCTCTTGCCTGCCAGGCCTCCTCATAACCTTGTGGACAATGCATCAGTCTCTGTCCCCTCCCTCCCCTTTGTGGTCTGTGTTCCTCTGTCCCTTCATTTCTAAGTTTTCTTACTAATGGCCTGACCTTGCCTTTCTCCATGGCCTGCCCTGCTCCATTCCCTCCCACTACTTTCTCACATTCTTACTCTCCTATGCCCAGGTCTGTCCTGTTTAGTACCAGCCTCCCACTCACCAGCCCTACCCTGATGTTCTTTTCCCACAGAGAGGACTGGAAGCCAGTCCTTACGATAAACTCCATAATTTATGGCCTGCAGTATCTCTTCTTGGTGAGTAGGAGTGGGCAGTTGGGGCTGGGAGAAATTGACCATTTGCCTCTCTGGCCTGTTGACCCCCTTTTGTACTGGCCATAGGAGCCCAATCCTGAGGACCCACTGAACAAGGAGGCCGCTGAGGTCCTGCAGAACAACCGGCGGCTGTTCGAACAGAATGTGCAGCGCTCCATGCGAGGTGGCTACATCGGGTCCACCTACTTCGAGCGCTGCCTGAAATAGGGTTGGCGCATACCCGCCCCGCCAGGGTCACCAGCCCAGGCATCCCCTGCAAATATTTATTGGGGGCAACGTATGGGGTGTGTGGGGCAGCCAGCTGGGAATCTCCTGCTTTGGCCTTGCCTCTCCTCCCTGCCACCTGCTCCTAGTTATTTTTTTTTTAACCACCACGTGATTATGGTCGGCGCTGCCTCCCCCCGACCTGCTCAGCGATGGGAAATGAATTGGCTTATCTAGCCCCCGCGCTGGGTATTGTCCCGCCCCCACTCTGGGCTATGGGGTGGGTGGGCCAGGGATCTGGGTAGCTGGGCCCAAGTAACCCACCCCTCCACCACCGGAGGTTCCACCAGGCTATTAAAGGGGAATGTTACTGCATGGCTTCTGCCTCTTCCTTCTATAGGGCGGGAGGGAGGGGCAGGTAAGGTCTCTTATGGGGGGAGGGGAGCATGAGAAGTGTATGGTCAGCACTACAGGATGCTCAGTGCGTGGCGCAACCTTCAGCTAGGTGGGAGTACTTCACCACGATGAAGTAATAGGGCAGGACCCAGTAATCCCTAGCTTCTTGGCCAGTAGGCCAGCATAGAAGAAAGTACGCGTCATTTGCAGCCTTGCCCCTTTCTGCCATGTGTGGGCCCGCGAAAGAGTCTGCTGCCTGTCGCTCGCTGTCCAAGGGCCTCAAGGCAGAAGTCAGGGCTCCACGGACGAACTGCGCCTTAAAATGGGTGGGATGCGGGCCTTCCCAGGGTGGGTAGGTGCACCATTCCCACCGGTCCACGATCTTGCCTGCGTCGCTGGGACTGCACGCGAAGGCGGGGCTTAAGTTGCGTAGAGAGTCAGGAGCCTGTGCGCATGCGCCTGTGTCGGGCTCTCCGCGGGCATGCGTGCTCCTACAAGTTCCCAGCATTCCGTGAATGGGTGGGGCGTGTGACGTCAGATAGTTTAATCCGGAAACGGCGGTGGCTGTAGAGGCGACCAAACCGAGGGGCCGTCGGTGGGTGCGCTAGAGACCCGAGCGAGAGGAGCGTGACCCGGAAGCGGAAGCAAGTCCCTGTCCTAGCTCTGGTGAGTGGCGTTTGATGGGTTGCAGGTCTCGAGTCACTCCGGCGTGTAAGGGCTTCTCTTGGCCGCAGCGTCCGATGCCGCGCCCCTCCTGGAAACCTGTGCTCATCCTTGGGGTCCCCAACACCACCTGCCCTCGATGCTCAGTGGCCCCCAGATGTCCCAAGACCCCGTCCTCGGTATACACCGCGCCCAAGTCGCCACCATCACGTCCACGGTGTACAGGGTACCACTCTTTCCCCCACGAGCCACATTCCCTCAACATTCAGGGCCCGGGATCCTGATGCCATTGTCCTAGTGGCATTCACAGCCCCCCGCCAATCCTGCCCTCCTTGTCAGTGCCCCCACAGTTGCCCTGAGTCCCAAATACTCCAACGCGCCCACGCACATCTCAGTATCCAGTCTCAGTTCCTGGAATCCTTCAGGGCCACGCCCCTGTGTCTTGGGAAGGAAAGCTAAACTTCCAGGCCCTACCACCTGTGGGGACAAGGAGATGGAGGGCTACAGCCAGAAAAGTGGCTGTTCTTGAGTCCCCAGAGCTGCCCGTGTCCCTGGCTATTCGATTTTCACATACTTCTTCTCATGCCCACCTAACCCTTCATCTCTTTCTGGGTCCCCACACCCTAGAACTAGGCTTCACACCTGTCCCAGGCCTGCCAGCAAGCGCCTACCACTATGGACCTGTTGTTTGGGCGCCGGAAGACGCCAGAGGAGCTGCTGCGACAGAACCAGCGGGCCCTGAACCGAGCCATGAGGGAGCTGGACAGAGAGCGACAAAAACTAGAGACTCAGGAGAAGAAAATTATTGCGGACATCAAAAAGATGGCCAAGCAGGGCCAGATGGTAAGTGCTGGTGGTCAGGGACTGGGAAACAGGGCAAGATACCATCTCTCAGGCCAGACACTGCTATGAAAAACAAATGCTTCGAGGAAAGCTGAGTGAAAGATGAACAAGGGTTTCCTAACTTAGGGGTCTGGAAAGTCATCGTTTTACACACACACTCTCTCTCACCCTATGGAAGTGCTATCAGAGACAAGGCCTGAGTGAGAAGATGAGCCTGTGGAAGATCTGGTCAGAAAATGTATTAAGCAAACAGAATTACAGATGTTAGCCACAGCAAACTAGTACAGCAACGAGTGAGTTGAGGGGTGAACCTGGGCCTTATCGTTCAGACTTGTGGGACATAGTGGGAGGTAGGATGGTTAACAGGATTAAGCAAGCTTTGTCCGAAAGACCAGTGAGGAGAGGGAAATGGGCAGAACCAGTAAGGAGAACATAAAGAAACAAACAGAGCTGGGTGCTGGTGTCTCACTCCTGTAATCCTAGGTACTCAGGAGGCAGAGATAAGGAAGATCATGGTTCAAAGCCAGCCTGGGCATTTGGTTCTCAAGACCACAAAAAGGGCTGGCGGAGTGGCTCAAATGGTGGTGTATCTGCTTCACAAGCATGAGGCCTTGAGTTTGAATAAGCAGGCAGAGCCTTTGGTGGGTAACAGGTTAGGTCTGAAGAGCTGGGCAGAGGAAGTATAGTTCCTGGGATGTACAGGAAATATGTTGGGAGTGGAGAATAAAAACTAAGCTTTGGAGGCTGGTAGTGGCTCAAGTGGTAAGAGCACCTGCCTAGCAAACACAAGTTCCTGAGTTCAAACTCCATTACGGCGGGGGTACCTAGCCCTTATATGGTTTGTATGCGATTCTAGATACAGTCTGAGATGTAGGTTTGTTTCTCCCCACCACCACCATCCCCACCCTCACCCCAGTGCTGGGGATTGAAAACTCAGGACCTTGTGCATATTAGGCAAGTGCTCTACTGCTGACCTACACCATCCCCAGCCCCCAAAGGAAGATTGCCTAGTCTACAGATAGAAACTGAGAAAATGGTATTCCAAGTTCAGGGAGCAATTTTTAGACATGGAAGGGACAAAAAAAAAAAACCCATAGTGACCCCTGATCCTTCTTTCCAGCATTTAAATGTCAGGGAGGTTGAGGATCCCAAGAGGGAGGAGTGAAGTAAGTGGAAAGCAGTAACCACTGGGGTTAACCACATGGAGGACTCTGGAGACTCAGTAGGAATGGAGCATATTTCAGTTACATCCTTTATATGCTTGTCCACTCCACAGGATGCTGTACGCATCATGGCAAAAGACCTGGTGCGTACCCGGCGCTATGTGCGCAAGTTTGTGTTGATGCGGGCCAATATCCAGGCTGTCTCTCTCAAGATACAGACGCTGAAGTCCAACAACTCAATGGCACAAGCCATGAAGGGCGTTACCAAGGCCATGGGCACCATGAACAGACAGGTAGGTATACCTCTCCCAATTCCCCTTCCTATCAACCCTCAGGGAGCTAACTCACCCTCCCCCTACTTCCAGCTAAAATTACCCCAAATCCAGAAGATCATGATGGAGTTTGAGCGGCAGGCAGAGATCATGGACATGAAGGAGGAGATGATGAATGATGCCATTGACGATGCCATGGGCGATGAGGAAGATGAAGAAGAGAGGTGTGGGGAAAAGCTGAAAGGTGGGAGGTGTTTTTCTGGTCCCCACCCATGCAAAGCCCTCATGGATCCTCCTCTTCCCTAGCGATGCTGTTGTGTCCCAGGTCCTGGATGAGCTGGGATTGAGCCTGACGGACGAGCTGTCAAGTGAGTGCTCCAAACTCTCCATTCTACTTCCCACTCAGAGTCTAGCCACAGCCCCTGATCTTCTCTCTCCCTGCAGACCTTCCCTCCACTGGGGGCTCACTCAGTGTGGCTGCTGGTGGGAAGAAAGCAGAGGCCTCAGCCTCTGCCCTGGCTGACGCTGATGCAGACCTGGAAGAGCGGCTCAAGAATCTGCGGCGGGACTAATTTATGCCCACAGAGGTAGAGTGGGTTCCTGGGGCTTTTATTCTGCCCCATAATAAATGATTGGACACTAGTTTCCAAGCCTGTGTGTCTAGCCTCACAAGGGGCCAGGCTGGTGTCCCTGAGACTTAAAAACTCCAAACCAGATGGGGTTAGGGTGTAGGGGTGGACAAGCCTGGCCTGCCAGTGGCCCTGCTCCAATACCACTGTTACCCCTGAATAAGTATTTCAGTCCATGACTCCACCTATCACTGCTCTACCACTCAACAAGGCTTGACCTAGTGACAGTTTAATGTGAACTTAAGGACAGTCCACACCAAGCTGGTTAAAGGGGATGGCCAGCCCAACTTGGTGGTCTCATTGTGGCTCAGCTAGATTAGCTGGGTTATAGGACAGGGATGAACTATGGGACCAACAGCTTAAATGAGAAAAAGGCAGCAGCAAGAACTTAGGTGTGAAGTCTCAGCATACCCAACTTACTGGTGGCTACCATCTGTTGGGTAGCCAAGCAAAACAGTGGGGCAGCCACTTCCCAGGGCCACCTCATTCAGCTCAGGCCTCCAGCGTGCCCTCTCACCCTGAATGACCCTTTCACAAGGAAGCCGGAAGAGTTGCTCTTCCCTACTTCCTTGGTATCCAGATAGGTTCACATGGATGGAGGATCTAAGGGTATGGCTCAAGTGGTAGAATGCCTACATAGCAAACAGGAGTACTGGAGTTCAAACCACAGTAGTAGGGGGGGAAAAAGGTTCCCAGGGATAGTTGTTGTTTGACAAGAATGAGTAGGTTAATAGGCAAACCAAAGCCCCCAACCAGCTGAGGCCTGAGTAACTGGTGAAGTTTTTATTAAATCCACAGAAGTAAAAACCATTTTGTGAAGGACCAAAGGATGGGGGCCACCAGGGAGTGGGAGTCGGGCCACCAAGGAAAGGAGGGGAGATGGGATTGAGGGCAGAGATTACAGCCAGGATGGGCTGACCTCAGTGACCAACTTCAAGGGCCATCACCAGGACCACCAGACAGATCCTGGGAACTTAGGCCAGCACTAGGCAGGTTCAATGGTGGGGGCTCCACCAGCACAGAAGAGAACTTGGTGTCACCGAAGGCATCATTCATGCGTGTCTCAAAGAAGCGCTGCAGGCCGATGATGGACTGCACATCCGCCTTGTCCTGGGCCAGGCAGAGGTGTGGTGGGTGGGTGGGTGGGTCCTGCCTCTCCCTCCCCCTTGTGGTCCCTCACTCCACAGGCTCACCTCAGTCAACTTGTTGAACTGCTTGAACATACGGCCCACATCCTGGGCAAATTCCTGTGGGGAGCTATAAGGGGGTGACAGCTTCTCCTGGAGGCGGGCACGGATCAGGGTCAAGTCCAGGGTGCCCCCAGGCTGCTCCTGCTGGCAGACACAACATATGCATTGAGCATGAGGCCAGCATCCCCCAACTCACTCCTCTCTGTAGTAGGACTCACCAGGGAGAAGGTGGAGTCAGTAGCCAGCTGGTGTAGGGGGCGACAGGGTTCATGGCAGAACAGAGCCAACAGGACACGCTCACATTTCTACAGACAGTACAGGAGATGTCAGAGCTGCAAGGTGCAGAAGGGCTGTAGCCATTGGGCCACCCACACCTGAGAGCTTGGCCCTCACCCGCTGGTTGGCTGGTGACAGCTTGGCCACCACACCAGTGTTTTCCGCACCATCCAGGCTAAGGTTGCCATCCTCCTCTTTCAGGTCAGGGAGCACATGGCAGAGTGAACAGCTCCATTCCTCCCTACAGTGAAGAGTGAGGGAATGTCTGGGATCCTGCCCAGCCCTTCAAGCCCAACCCGTACCCCACTCAGCCATGCACGCACCCTGGCACATCCTGCAGGGCAGGCAGGTGGCAGTCCAGGTGGAAGCAAAACTCGCACTGGTTGCACATGACCAGGTCACCTGGCTTCTGGCAGACACGACAGATGGTGGCACTGTCATCCAGAGTGCCTGCGCCACCAGCTGGGGCTGAACTGCCCTCAGGAGCCACCACCTCCAGGCCTGAGCTAGTGCTGCCACTTGGTGAGGCCAGGCGTGGACCCTCAGCGCCAGGGCCCTCAGCCAGTGCCATTAACACAGGCTTGGTCTCAGGGCCCTCAGTGGCAGCAGGAGGGGCTCCAATGGCAGCCTCTGTCTCTTCCTCCTGCAAGACAGTGAGGGGCATTTAAAGTGAGTCAAGACCTGATGAGAGGTGCCACCCTCCAGTCATATTCCCTTAGGCTCACCTTGACAATAGCCATTCCAGGCAAAGGTGGGGCACCAGGAGCTCCTGGGGGCACAGTCCCAGCCTGACCAGCAGCTGCAGCAGCAGCTCCACGCTCAATAACAATGAGGTTGTAGTCCTCAGTGGTGCTGCCCGGAAAGACTTTGAAGACAGGTGGCTGGCTATCAGCTGTAAGGTCCAGGTCTAGGCGTTCAAGGCTCACACGTGGCACCTTGCGCATGAGGCCACTCACTTCACCCTCACCTGAGCGGGCCCTGTAGTTACACCTTGGGTTTAAGCATCCCTCATCCCTGTCCCTCACCCACCTGCCACCCCCAGGGACTGCCAGACTCACCGCTTCATGCCTGACACGTGAGGCTCTGCACTTGAATAAGGGTCATCTGCTCAGAACACAGAAAAGGGGGCTGGGGGCACAACTCAAATGATAGAGCAAGTGTGAGGCCCTGGGCTCCTCAGTGTGGCAGGGAAGCAAGAAAATGGGGCTGGGGAGTTGGAGTAGACACAGGATACTTACTGGGACCCTCCCAACCCCAGGCTGAACCACTTACCTGAACCAAAGCCATAGCCTTCCTGTATCTCCATAGGCTAGACACAATAGAGCAAGTGGACCTCAGTGGGCCAGGTGGCCCATAGAACACTGTGGCCCTTCACCTATCCCTGGGTCAGCCCTCTTCCTGCTCACCTGGTTGCTGCCTGAGCCTTGCTTGCTCAGAGGCCCAGGAGCTCTTGGAGGAGCCATGGCTGCAGGGCCCGTGGAGTTGGCACCAGGACGCTCAGCCACGATCTTGCCTGAGGAAAAGAAGCCTAAGTAGACCCAGCACCTGAGTAGTTAACAACACAGAGCAAACGCAAGACTGGGACCTACCAAAGGCTTCGGCACTCTTGGTCCAGGCGTTGAGGTCCCACTGAAACTTCATTTCGCCATGTGGCTCCACAGGATCCACAATCATTTTGAGGGCCCGATGGAGCTGGAAATAGATCTGGTAGGACAAAGAAGTGGGGCATGAGCACAATGGGCAATTAACAGGGCACAAATGCTGAGGGCCACCATCCTGAAGCCCACCACACACCAGCTTCTTAGAAAGCAGTAGGGCTGTGTTGTTGTCACTCTCCAGAGCCCAAGAGGCAAAGCGCAGGATATGCTCCTGATGCTTCTGGATCTTGGTCATGGTCCAGTGCTGCCGCTCCAGGCGCTCCTGCTGTCCCTCAGTCACCTTCTGCGGGTCAAGGGGAACAAAGTCAGCAAGGAAAGCAGAGAACACTGGATCCCTCTCCACCCCAAACAGCATAATCAGCCAGCAGAGAGGTCCAGGAATCCTCCAACCTGTGAGATTTACCTGGGCGTCATTGACCAGCACACGGCCCCTCTTATTGAGCTCCTTCATGATCTGCAGGATGGCCATCTTGACATCTACCTGCACACGCTTCTGTACATCAGACACCTGGCGGATCCTAGAAGGCAAGACTAGTCAGGCCAGGAAATCCTGTCCTGGGCCCCCCACAACCCTGGCAACCACACTTACGAGCTGCGAACCTCCTTGGTGCTCTTCTGCAGTGTAGCATGTTTGTCCCCAAGACGCTTCACCAGTGAAGCCAGCAGCTTACGCTGGTTCCTTACTGCATCCTCCAAGAATTGGTACCTGAGAGCAGACAGAGGTAGGCCTGCATGCTAAGCCTGGAAATAGATGGCATCCACCCACCAAGCCTCAGGACTCACTGGTGGTCCTTGTGGGCGTTGAGTTGGCAGTCCCGGCAGGTGAGGGTATCACAGCTCTCACAGAACAGCACGAGTGGCTCATGCTTGTGCACGGTGCAATAAACAGTGCGTTCACCATCCCGAGATTTAGCCGGCCCTGGTGAATAGGAACCATGAGAGGCAAGACCCTGTCCATGGCCACCTGAAGCAACAGACAGCTTGGGGAGGCCTCATTTCTTACCTCTCCCACAACCTTGGCCTTCCTACTGGTAAGATTTAGAGAGCCAGGGGCAATGGCAGCTCCTTGTTCCCAGAACCCTATACTCTACCTGACTAAAAGTACACTTCTTTACCCTTCTATAAAGGACAAAGTGAAGGCAGGAATAATAGCCTATAAAAAAGAACCTCCTCTTCCTTGCTGTTCCCTGAAATCTTCTACAGGGGGGCACAGAATTCTGCCTGCCTACAAACCATCCGCCAATGGTTGCTTTCTCCTCTACTCATGGTGACCTTCCCTCTTCCCTGGCAAGAAAATGCCTTTTATAGTTCAAGAAACCACAGGATGCCTTCCAGACCCTTGTCAGACTGGAAGACATGCTATCACACTGGGACCCTCAAAAGGGTGTTAAGGTCCCCTTCTCTAAGACAAGATCTAGGCACTCAAATAATGACACCCAGAGACCACCCATAACTGCCAAAGCCTGTTTTCACATTAGAAAGTTGAATAGAGCAGGGTACAAGTGGCTCATGCTTGTAGTCCTAGCTATTCAGGAAGCAGAGACCAAGAGGATTGAAGTTTGAAGCCAGCCCAGGGCAAATAACTATCTTGAAAAAACCCATCAAACAAAAAGGGCTGGCACAGTGGGCTCAAGTGGGAGGGTACCTGCCTAGCAACCATGAGGCTATGAGTTCAAACCCAACTGCTGCCTTAAAAACAAAAAAAATTGATTAGATGCCAGCACTCAGAAGGCTGAGGTAGAAAGATCTCCAAATCTGCAAAGGCTGCCATAGCTATATATAGTGAGACTATCTCAAAATAATGGAGGAAAAAAGCAAG